TAGTGGAGACCAACATGGAGTGATAGTGGAAACCAACATGGAGTGATAGTGGAGACCAACATGGAGTGATAGTGGAGGTCAACATGGAGTGATAGTGGAGGTCAACATGGAGTGGTAGTGGAGACCAACATGGAGTGATAGTGGAAACCAACATGGAGTGATAGTGGAGACCAACATGGAGTGATAGTGGAGGTCAACATGGAGTGGTAGTGGAGACAACATGGAGTGATAGTGGAAACCAACATGGAGTGATAGTGGAGACCAACATGGAGTGGTAGTGGAGGTCAACATGGAGTGGTAGTGGAGACCAACATGGAGTGATAGTGGAGACCAACATGGAGTGATAGTGGACCAACATGGAGTGTAGTGGAGGTCAACATGGAGTGGTAGTGGAAACCAACATGGAGTGATAGTGGAGACCAACATGGAGTGATAGTGGAGGTCAACATGGAGTGGTAGTGGAGACCAACATGGAGTGATAGTGGAGACCAAACATGGGTGATAGTGGAGGTCAAACATGGAGTGGTAGTGGAGACCAACATGGAGTGATAGTGGAGACCAACATGGAGTGATAGTGGAGGTCAACATGGAGTGGTAGTGGAGACCAACATGGAGTGATAGTGGAGACCAACATGGAGTGATAGTGGAGGTCAACATGGAGTGGTAGTGGAGACCAACATGGAGAGATAGTGAAGACCAACATGGAGTGATAGTGGAGACCAACATGGAGTGATAGTGGAGACCAACATGGAATGATAGTGGAGACCAACATGGAGTGGTAGTGGAGGACAACATGGAGTGGTAGTGGAAACCAACATGGAGTGGTAGTGGAGGTCAACAAGGAGTGGTAGTGTAGGTCAACATGGAGTGGTAGTGGAGGTCAACATGGAGTGGTAGTGGAAACCAACATGGAGTGGTAGTGGAGACCAACATGGAGTGATAGTGGAGACCAACATGGAGTGATAGTGGAGACCAACATGGAGTGATAGTGGATACCAACATGGAGTGATAGTGGAGACCAACATGGAGTGGTAGTGGAGGACAACATGGAGTGGTAGTGTAGACCAACATGGAGTGGTAGTGGAGGTCAACATGGAGTGGTAGTGGAAACCAACATGGAGTGGTAGTGGAGACCAACATGGAGTGATAGTGGAGACCAACATGGAGTGATAGTGGAGACCAACATGGAGTGATAGTGGAGACCAACATGGAGTGATAGTGGAGACCAACATGGAGTGATAGTGGAGACCAACATGGAGTGATAGTGGAGACCAACATTAAGTGATAGTGGAGACGAACATGGAGTGATAGTGGAGACCAACATGGAGTGATAGTGGAGACCAACATGGAGTGATAGTGGAGGACAAACATGGAGTGGTAGTGTAGGTCAACATGGAGTGGTAGTGTAGGTCAACATGGAGTGGTAGTGGAGGTCAACATGGAGTGGTAGTGGAGGTCAACATGGAGTGGTAGTGTAGGTCAACATGGAGTGGTAGTGGAGGTCAACATGGAGTGGTAGTGTAGGTCAACATGGAGTGATAGTGGAGGTCAACATGGAGTGGTAGTGTAGGTCAACATGGAGTGGTAGTGGAGGTCAACATGGAGTGGTAGTGTAGGTCAACATGGAGTGGTAGCGGAAACCAACATGGAGTGGTAGTGTAGGTCAACATGGAGTGGTAGTGTAGGTCAACATGGAGTGGTAGTGGAGGTCAACATGGAGTGGTAGTGTAGGTCAACATGGATGGTAGTGGAGGTCAACATGGAGTGGTAGTGTAGGTCAACATGGAGTGGTAGCGGAAACCAACATGGAGTGGTAGTGTAGGTCAACATGGAGTGGTAGCGGAAACCAACATGGAGTGGTAGTGTAGGTCAACATGGAGTGGTAGTGGAGGTCAACATGGAGTGGAAGTGGAGGTCAACATGGAGTGGTAGTGGAAACCAACATGGAGTGGTAGTGGAGGTCAACATGGAGTGGAAGTGGAGGTCAACATGGAGTGGTAGTGTAGGTCAACATGGAGTGGTAGTGGAGGTCAACATGGAGTGGTAGTGGAGGTCAACATGGAGTGGTAGTGTAGGTCAACATGGAGTGGTAGTGGAGGTCAACATGGAGTGGTAGTGTAGGTGAACATGGAGTGGTAGTGGAGGTCAAACATGGAGGTAGTGGAGGTCAAATATGGAGTGGTAGTGGAGGTCAAATATGGAGTGGTAGTGGAGGTCAAACATGGAGTGGTAGTGGAGGACAAACATGGAGTGGTAGTGGAGGACAAACGTGGAGTGGTAGTGGAAGACCAACATGGAGTGGTAGTGGAGACCAACATGGAGTGGTAGTGGAATACCAACATGGAGTGGTAGTGGAGACCAACATGAAGTGGTAGTGGAATACCAACATGGAGTGGTAGTGGAGACCAACATGGAGTGGTAGTGGAATACAAACATGGAGTGGTAGTGGAATACCAACATGGAGTGGTAGTGGAGGTCAACATGGAGTGGTAGTGGAGACCAACATGGAGTGGTAGTGGAATACCAACATGGAGTGGTAGTGGAGACCAACATGGAGTGGTAGTGGAGACCAACATGGAGTGGTAGTGAAGGACAAACATGGAGTTGTAGAGGAAGACAGATATGAAGTGGTAGTGGAGGACAAACATGGAGTGGTAGTGGAGGTCAACATGGAGTGGTAGTGGAGGTCAACATGGAGTGGTAGTGAAGACCAACATGGAGTGGTAGTGGAGGTCAACATGGAGTGGTAGTGGAAACCAACATGGAGTGGTAGTGAAGGACAAACATGGAGTGGTAGAGGAAGACAGATATGGAGTGGTAGTGGAGGACAAACATGGAGTTGTAGTGGAGGACAAACATGGAGTTGTAGTGGAGGACAAACATGGAGTGATAGTGGAGGTCTATCACTCCATGTTATGGAGGTCAACATGGAGTGGTAGTGGAGGACAAACATGGAGTGGTAGTTGAGGACAAACATGGAGTTGTAGTGGAGGACAAACATGGAGTGGTAGTGGAGACCAACATGGAGTGGTAGTGGAGGTCAACATGGAGTGGTAGTGGAGACCAACATGGAGTGGTAGTGGAGGTCAACATGGAGTGGTAGTGTAGGTCAACATGGAGTGGTAGTGTAGGTCAACATGGAGTGGTAGTGTAGGTCAACATGGAGTGGTAGTGTAGGTCAACATGGAGTGGTAGCGGAAACCAACATGGAGTGGTAGTGTAGGTCAACATGGAGTGGTAGTGTAGGTCAACATGGAGTGGTAGTGGAGGTCAACATGGAGTGGTAGTGTAGGTCAAAAATGGAGTGGTAGTGGAGGTCAACATGGAGTTGTAGTGTAGGTCAACATGGAGTGGTAGCGGAAACCAACATGGAGTGGTAGTGTAGGTCAACATGGAGTGGTAGCGGAAACCAACTTGGAGTGGTAGTGTAGGTCAACATGGGGTTTGGTAGTGGAGGTCAACATGGAGTGGAAGTGGAGGTCAACATGGAGTGGTAGTGGAAACCAACATGGAGTGGTAGTGGAGGTCAACATGGAGTGGTAGTGGAGGTCAACATGGAGTGGTAGTGTAGGTCAACATGGAGTGGTAGTGGAGGTCAACATGGAGTGGTAGTGGAGGTCAACATGGAGTGGTAGTGTAGGTCAACATGGAGTGGTAGTGGAGGTCAACATGGAGTGGTAGTGTAGGTGAACATGGAGTGGTAGTGGAGGTCAAACATATAGGTGTGGAGGTCAAATATGGAGTGGTAGTGGAGGTCAAACATGGAGTGGTAGTGGAGGACAAACATGGAGTGGTAGTGGAGGACAAACGTGGAGTGGTAGTGGAAGACCAACATGGAGTGGTAGTGGAGACCAACATGGAGTGGTAGTGGAATACCAACATGGAGTGGTAGTGGAGACCAACATGGAGTGGTAGTGGAATACAAACATGGAGTGGTAGTGGAATACCAACATGAAGTGGTAGTGGAGACCAACATGGAGTTGTAGAGGAGGTCAAACATGGAGTGGTAGTGGAGACCAACATGGAGTGGTAGTGTAGGTCAAACATGGAGTGGTAGTGGAGACCAACATGGAGTTGTAGAGGAGGTCAAACATGGAGTGGTAGTGGAATACCAACATGAAGTGGTAGTGTAGGTCAACATGGAGTGGTAGTGGAGGTCAAACATGGAGTGGTAGTGGAGACCAACATGGAGTGGTAGTGAAGGACAAACATGGAGTTGTAGAGGAAGACAGATATGAAGTGGTAGTGGAGGACAAACATGGAGTGGTAGTGGAGGTCAACATGGAGTGGTAGTGGAGGTCAACATGGAGTGGTAGTTGAGACCAACATGGAGTGGTAGTGGAGGTCAACATGGAGTGGTAGTGGAGACCAACATGGAGTGGTAGTGAAGGACAAACATGGAGTGGTAGTGGAGACCAACATGGAGTGGTAGTGGAGGTCAACATGGAGTGGTAGTGGAGGTCAACATGGAGTGGTAGTGGAGGACAAACATGGAGTGGTAGTGGAGGTCAACATGGAGTGGTAGTGGAGGTCAACATGGAGTGGTAGTGGAGACCAACATGGAGTGGTAGTGAAGGACAAACATGGAGTGGTAGAGGAAGACAGATATGGAGTGGTAGTGGAGGACAAACATGGAGTTGTAGTGGAGGACAAACATGGAGTTGTAGTGGAGGACAAACATGGAGTGATAGTGGAGGTCTATCACTCCATGTTATGGAGGTCAACATGGAGTGGTAGTGGAGGACAAACATGGAGTGGTAGTGGAGGACAAACATGGAGTTGTAGTGGAGGACAAACATGGAGTGGTAGTGGAGACCAACATGGAGTGGTAGTGGAGGTCAACATGGAGTGGTAGTGGAGACCAACATGGAGTGGTAGTGGAGGTCAACATGGAGTGGTAGTGGAGGTCAACATGGAGTGGTAGTGGAGGACAAACATGGAGTGGTAGTGGAGGTGCGCGTGGAGTGAGTGCTACTGGTAGGTCAGGCAGTGAGCGGCGCGCCTTCACTCAGTGTGGACTATTTGCCGCTGTCTCTGCTCTCCGCACCTTGCATATCACGCCCTCCCAGCACGCCCATAGCGGCGACGGGCACCCATGTCCCTCGGTTTGTGACACAGGACGTGTGGGCGTCCCCACCCCTTCCCCAGCAGCGCCTACACCCGCCTCCATACCTTCAGGAGGACCAACTTGTTGAAGTTCATACCTCGTGTCGCAACAACCTCCACCACCCGAAGACATGTGCGACCACTCAGTGTTACTCCTTCCCTCTGCCCTCCTGTCGCATCCTAGTAATTTCTAGGAGTCTTTTGCGTCTTGATCTAGCTTTCCGAGTCAAACATCGAGGGTCATGTAGCGTGGCAGATCCCTTATGATCGAAGTGTTGCTTTCCGGTGGTGTTGGAAAGTGTGCTTGTGGGGTGTTTACTCAGTTACCGTAGACCTCAGGCTGCTGAAAGTGCTGTTTAGTACCCCAACTGTCTTGTGTTTCACCCCTGCTTTACCCTACCCGCTAAACCCGCATCCGATTAGCTGTGTTTTTACGAAAGTTGGTGTGACACAAGCTTAAAAACAAAACCCGGCCATGAGAGAGGTCTCTTGCGCTATACCCACGCCTCGAGGGAGGTGTGACCACCATCACGCCCACACCATGGGCACCACTCACACCTGCTGCTCCGATGCCTTGATGCCGTCCAGAGTAACTATCCTCACAACCTGTATCGGTGAGTGTGAGTTATGTACATGCAATCATGAAGATTGCTGGCCCCGTGTTTATACAATAAAACTTATAATCACACTTCTGTATGTCGCCTGCCATCACACTTACATACTATACATACCATCACGCATGTAGACGATAATAGGAGTTGGTCGTAGCGTACAGCAGTGAACATATCAATAATCAGGGCTCTCTGAGTCCCTGGCTCGCTGAGTCCTTCCCTCGCTGAGTCCCGGGCTCGCTGAGTCCCGGGCTCGCTGAGTCCCGGGCTCGCTGAGTCCCGGGCTCGCTGAGTCCCTGGCTCGCTGAGTCCTGGCCTCGCTGAGTCCCGGGCTCGCTGAGTCCCGGGCTCGCTGAGTCCCGGGCTCGCTGAGTCCCGGGCTCGCTGAGTCCCGGGCTCGCTGAGTCCCGGGCTCGCTGAGTCCCGGGCTCGCCGAGTCCCGGGCTCGCTGAGTCCCGGGCTCGCTGAGTCCCGGGCTCGCTGAGTCCCGGGCTCGCTGAGTCCCGGGCTCGCTGAGTCCCGGGCTCGCTGAGTCCCGGGCTCGCTGAGTCCCGGGCTCGCTGAGTCCCGGGCTCGCTGAGTCCTGGCCTCGCTGAGTCCTGGCCTCGCTGAGTCCTGGCCTCGCTGAGTCCTGGCCTCGCTGGTCCTGGCCTCGCTGCTCTCGACAATAGCAGAGACTATAATTCATGACCTCCTTCTGACTTATTAAGAATGGGAACATGACGACCGTCTCCATCAAAAAACAGTCTGACCTAAATGTTGCATTGACCACACTAGCGAAGAAAACACACGCTACCGAACACCACCTTTACCGTGACAACGTCTCTGATGACGGAACTCTACACACAGCGAAACGCTATCTAAATAAAAGCTTGCTCTGCAGAGTGTAACCTGTGCTTAGAATCCTAAGTTGACCACTCATATAGATAGGAATCTCAAGATACTTATAACTAAAGATCAAACGTACGTTTTGTTCATCAGTGGGAATAGAAACCAGCATTTTGCAAAGTAAGGCCAATCAACAACACACGAGAAGAGGAAAATCGCCCCTATGAAGCTATAAATATGTCTGTTATTTACGTCTTGATAACCCACAAATATATTACACGTTTTGACTTTTCAACTCGCATACGTATTATGGAGATAATACTGAGTTAAAAATCTGAGGGCATCCTGCGTCTCCTGTTAACAAATAATAATAATAATAATAATAATAATAATAATAATAATAATAATAATAATAACAATAATAATATTATTAATAATAATCTTTATATCTACAAGTACATGATACAACCTGTACAGACCATAGCTGACATCAGTGACACACTAAATAGAAAGCCCCTGGTTATGCAGAGAATAGTTGTATAACCCTTGCGGTTTAGCGCTTTTTTTTATTATAATAATATGCAGAGAATTTCGGGCAGCTTAGGTTAATTTTGTTCCCCAGAATGCGACCCACACCAGTCGGCTAACACCCAGGTACCTACTTACTGCTAGGTGAACAGGGATAGAAGGTGTCTTAAGGAAACACGCTCAACGGATTTCCATGTATGAGGTGAGTGCACTACCAACCCAGCTACAGGACACCAATAAAGACCATTAACTTTGCGGCCCCATCATACCTACCAGCTGTATTCAGTCGCTTAAAAAATGCCATGTATACTGCGTATAAACTCAGCGTTAACGTTAATCTATATTTTAGTGATTAAAGTATTTTTAGACAGTAGTGTACAGGTGAGTTGCAGTTTTAATGACCCACCTGTTGGTGGGTTTGGGGTTTCAAGCCTGTCTACTGTATGACTCAATAACTGGCATAACACTGCACCGCCATTCAACCCGACTTTATCCCTCGGTCTAAGTCGAGTCAAACTTTGATGCCTTAGTCACCGCAAGTATGTATTCTCAACCTAGAGAAAACCTGCAATAGTAATATGTATAACCTGCAATAGTAACATGTATAACCTGCTAGATTAACATGTACAATCTGCTAGAGCAACATGTATAACCTGCTAGAGTAACATGTATAGACTGCTAGAGTAACATGTATAACCTACAGAGTAACATGTATACCCTGATATAGTATGTATACCCTGCTAGAGCAGTATGTATACTCTGCTAGAGTAGAATGCATAACCTGCTAAAGTATGCATAATCTGCTAGAGTAGCATGCATGACCTGCTAGAGTAGTATGCATAACCCGCTAGAGTAACATGTATAAGCTGATAGAGTAACATGTATAGCATGAGAGAGTAGTATGTATAACCTGCTAGAGTGACATGTATAATCTGCTATAGTAGTATGTATAACCTGCTATAGTAGTATGTATAACCTGCTATAGTAGTAAGTATAACCTTCTAGAGTGACATGTATAACCTGCTAGAGCAGTATGTATTATCTGCTAGAGTAGTATGTATAACCTTCTAGAGTGACATGTATAAATTACTCAGTGTCTAGCATATTTCAGAAAGATTTAGAAGGTCCATCTAAAATGTATACATGAAGTATATCCGTCGCTGTTGTGTTATTGAACGCGGTATCAACGCGCAGTGACCTCGTATATACAGTGACCTCGTCTAGACAGTGACGTCATCTTGTCTATACAGTGATCTCGTCTACACAGTGACCTTGTCTGGAGAGTGATCTCGTCTACAGTGACCTCGTCTGCACAGTGACCTCGTCTAGACAGTGACGTCTATAGAGTGGCTTCGTCTACACAGTGACCACGTCTGTGCAGTGACCTCATCTATACAGTGACCTCGTGCATACAGCGACTTCGTTTGTACAGTGATCTCGTTCACTTTGTGACTTCATGTCATAAAGTGAAGGAGGTCACCTCGTTCACCTCGAGTGACCTCGTTCACTCTGTGACCTCGCCTATACAGTGACCTCGTCTCTATTGTGACCTCGTTCACACAGTGACTTTGTTAACCGTGCTCTCGTCTACAATGACCTCATCAACACAGTGACCACGCGTACAGTGATCTCATCTACACAGTGACTCCAATCTTCATTCCTTAGCTCACAACAGTGCCACCAACCACCATCCCTGACAACAATGCCACCAACCACCATCCCTGACAACAATGCAACCAACCACCATCCCTGACTCACGACAGTGCCACCAACTACCATCCCTGACTCACAACAGTGCCACCAACCACCATCCTGACTCACAACAGTGACATCAACCACAATCCCTGACTCACAACAGTGACACCACTATCACTGACTCACAACAGTGCCACCAACCACCATCCCTGACAACAATGCCACCAACCACCATCCCTGACTCACTACAGTACCATCAACCACCATCACTGACTCAACAGTGACATCATCTACCATCCCTGACTCACAACAGTGACATCGACCACCATCCCTGACTCACAACGGCGACACCAACTACCATCCCTGACTCACAAAAGTGCCACCAACCATCATCCCTGACAACAATGCCACCAACCACCATCGCTGACTCACAACAGTGACACCAACTATCATCCCTGACTCACAACAGTGACACCAACTACCATCCCTGACTCAACAGTGACACCAACTACCATCCCTGACTCACAACAGTGACACCAACTACCATCCCTGACTCACAACAGTGACACCAACTATCATCCTGACTCACAACAGTGACACCAACTACCCATCCCTGACTCACAACAGTGACACCAACTACCATCCCTGACTCACAACAGTGACACCAACTACCATCCCTGACTCACAACAGTGACACCAACTACCATCCCTGACTCACAACAGTGACACCAACTACCATCCCTGACTCACAACAGTGACACCAACTACCATCCCTGACTCACAACAGTGACACCAACTACCATCCCTGACTCACAACAGTGACACCAACTACTATCCCTGACTCATAACAGTGACACCAACTACTATCCCTGACTCATAACAGTGACACCAACTACCATCCCTGACTCACAACAGTGCCACATATATTAATCATGCATGAATAATGCAGCATCCAGCCACTAAGAACTCAATGTTTAGCAAGAAGATACAGAGGATCGAGTGTACAGGTAAAAGGGTGTCAGACTAATATACACGAACATGGGCAGCATCCCCCCTCCACACACACACACACACACACACACACACACACACACACACACACACACACACACACACACACACACACACACGACACACAAACACAAGCTCAAAGCGAGAATAGATGAAGATAAACTAAACATTATTGCCATCACAGAGACCAAGCTGAGAGGAATAATTACAGATGTTATCTTCTCAAGGTTTCCCGGAAGCACATGGTATGACTATTATTATTACAAACATGATGAATTAAAACACATGTGCAGCAACTGGGTATCTTCATTTTGAAGACTTTTCACCAAGCAATGACTCTTTTAATTAACCTCAAAAATTATATATAGAATGCAGTGGAAGATAAAGTAATCAGTCCCTCACTCTTGAAGGTATTCAGTGAAAATAAATGGTATAAAATACCGACACAATGGAAACATAAACACATATGCAGTTTAATGTGATCCTTTATTGACAACGTTCGTACGTACCCCAGGTAGATGTGTGTGTGAAAATATAAACACATATGTAGTATAATGTGATCCTTTATTGACAACGTTTCACCCACACAGTGGGCTTTTTCAAGTCACACAGATCTACTTGGGGTGGAAGGTACGGGAGTATTTATAGTCATGTTCAGAATGTTGAGGTCAGGTGGAGAATGCTGCATCTGATGATCTACCAGGTGGAGTTATAGAGTCTTGGGTAGCTTGGCAGGGGTATTGGACAAGTTGTGAGTAGACCTTCTGCAGTGTTCTATGTTCTTATGTGGGATAGCGATGAATAAGTTTCTTGGCGAGTGGTTCAGCTATGTTATAGAAGCCGTTGTTCTGGTTGAAATTGTTGGTTATAGAGATAAGCGATGATTCCAGGATTCTTCGGTATTGGGTGTTGTCTTCTGTGGCGATAAGTCTTGAGTTTTT